CCCCCAACCAAAAAAATCAATATTCAAACCTCAACCAGAAAACAACGTTCAACCCACATCTTCACTGCTTATTTAACATATACACTGATGCTTTGTTTTTTTACCAGAGCTACAGACAACATTCGGATGGACCTCAGTAAACACATTTAAAAAGAGAAACAGCTCACAGAAAACAGCATTTAAACTCTAAAATTAAAACAGCAAATAATAGTATCAAAACGGTCATAAACTGCCTGAAGACCCATGGGTGGAGCAGGTACGTCAATGGGGAAGACTTGTTTGTTTGTTTGTTTGTTTGTTTGTTTGTTCGAGTATAGAAGACACATCTGCGCAATAACAGTCATTTGATGTGTAGAAACACATAGCAGACACAATAACGGTCATTTGACGAGCAGAAACACATTGACACAATAACGGTCATTTGATGTGTAGAAACACATCGACACAATAACGGTTATTTGATGTGTAGGAACACATCGACACAATAACGGTTATTTTGGAGTGTAGAGACACATTGATACGATAACGATTATTTGGAAGGCAGACACAAACAATAACAGTCATTTTGTAGTGTAGAGACCCGTGGACACAATACAGACAGGAGCATTTAAAGGACAAGAAAAGAAGTGGACCTACAAGAGGCACTAATCAAGCCACTAGCGTGGGTCGACTAGAATTTAAATTTATAATTTACTAGCTGGGTACTCGTTTGATGAACGGACTCAAAAGAATCCATCTTCAAGTCATTGAGGAACCAGTGCGAACGGCTAGTGAAAGGAAACCTCACTTGTTTACAAAGGCGTCTCAGAAGACGGACTTTCCCAAGATTAGATCAAAACGAAACTAATGAAAAACTGAAAATCAAATTACAGTGACTTCAGGCTCCTCAATAAAACTGTGCACCTTTTAAATGACCCTGAACCACCGTTAATTTTGTCAAATTCGAAAGTTAAGTGGTTCGGAAGTTTTAGGCGGCCAGAGTGAAGAACTTTTACAAATATAATACGTAGAGATTACGGCAAACACGAAAGGACTCTTTTTAATAAGGTGGGG